CATTTTTCAATATCATCCAGAACATGAGGGTTGCTGAGTGAAACTGTGATATCTGGCATAGTGAATTAATAAACAAAAGGCAGAGAATTGGGTTTAATGTGCCCAAATTACCGGGTGATAACTTAAACCATACTGGCTGTTTCCATTGTATAAATGAAAATGGGCACATTTGCTCATATTTTAAGTAGGGATTTTAAAAGTAAAGAAGAAATGAGCAGGGTTTTGTAATCAATTACTAGCTTTTTTATCATGGAGGAGTTACAACATGTTAAATTAACATGGCCTAATAGACTTCAGGTTCTTTTTCCCTCCCCTCTAAAAGGGACCATGTTCTAATTTCATAGAATTTCATCAGGAAACTTCTTTCACTGAAAGCAAATAAAATGACAAAAATAACATGGAAAATACAGAATAACATTTTAGCTCTGTTTACAGATTTTACTCTTTGTTTTTCCTTTCTCTATTAGTTATTGATTTTTTTTTTAGAGATGTCTGCTATGTTAAAGTAGAAGTGATTGGTAAAGATTCAGAAGTTTATCCTATTTAAACTGATGGTGAGTAAATTAAATCTTAACTTTGAGTGAAAAATCTGATTTGTTGATCCAACAAAGTAGGACCAAGAGGCAAAGTGTCCCAAGTGCCACTTTAGTTCAGACTGAAGGCTAATTTGTTTGACAGAGCACTAAGCTTCATGTCTCCAGTTATACAGTGTTTCTAACCTTATGTCTGACTCCTTATGAGGTCTGTATTGAAGGAAGGGAAAAAATCTGGCTATATAAAATTGAAAATGTACCAGTGTGGGGTTTGGAGTGTTTAGATGTTGTTTTTTCTTGGTTGTCTGTAGACATTCACCCAGGACATGCAGTTCAGCTGTGATATTCATCCAGGACACGCAGTTCAGCAGGGTAGTGGCCTATGGATGTTAAAGCAGAGTTTCTTCTGCTGCATATCTAAGGAAAAATAGTGTAAACCTGTTACAATACCTAGATTGGGTTTGTTATGTTTCTAATTTTGTGTGTATATCCTGGGTGAATAGAAAGACTTCGTTATAACAGCTTCTATTCAGTCCTGTGTCACTGATATATTTTGATGGTGATAATGAGAGAAATAGGGTGTTGGTCTCTTCAAATCTGATCTGAACCTTCTTTTCTTACATAGTGACAGAAGATGCTCTGATGGCTCTTGCCTGGTACGCCTGAATTTAGTTCTGCTGCTGTACCAGGAGGAAGGCAAAGAGTAGAGTTTCCTAAATACTGTATTTAATGTAAAAGGCTGGATTTGCTCCTGATATATGTGTACATACACACACACACACGTGTATGTACATAGCTTTATGCTTTTTGAGAGGTGAGTTGTGTGCTTTTAAGACTTTTGCCATTTGGGTTTTACGAGGAAAGCCCTAAATACATGTATAGATCTGTAAGGAGAATTGGGTAAGATTTAGTGAAAATACTAGCAGTACTGCTTATTCAAGAGCTATGCTGGCCAATGAGACTGGGAGTTGCTTCCCACAAGTGATAAGCAATTTGCGTAATCTCCTTGCTTAGGTTGTCCAGGATATGTTTTTTGACAGCTCAGGAAGCAGAAGAAAGAAAGTTTCACCAGTTTGTAAACATTACCACCTTCAAGAATCTCTGTGAACACAAGGATGAGATAAGACAGGCTGTAGGGCTGGTTGCATTGTTTATTTATTCTACTGTCCTGCAGTCCCAAGTGTGCTGAAAACCCCTGAGCCAGTGCTGAGTCCAGTTCAGAATTGTGAAGGCTTCACTCAGCATTGGGCAGAGGGGGCCTCTGCAGGCAATTATCTGTCATTAAAAGAATTGAGACACAAGATCAGATTTTCTTTGATGGGATGTGCGACTATAGCGATGTTCAAAAGAAGGTCATTCCTGCTCTTTGGAGCAGGGGTTGTATCAGCCAGGTTTCTGATGGGTTTTTATCAGTGTTGATGTGAGGAAATGGCTTTCCCAGCTGATAACATCTTTGACCGAGTTTCTTGAACCCTTGACCTTTATCAGTCAAAGAATATATTGAATCCCCTTGTTAAAAATAAATCCAAAACCAAGTTACATGGAAAAGACAACTTTCAAAGGAACATATTTTATAATATTATTTTATCCAGAATGCTACTTTGTTACACTTTGAGACTTTTATTGCTATTATAAGAGTAGCAAGTTATTAAGAAATGCCTCTATAAAAGCTACCCATCAAGCCCTGCACTGGCATTCCAGGTGACCTTACTGCCCTTTCAGCACTGTTAGAAAACAAGTAAATCAGTTAAATTGCTACGTATTGTTGTTGTATGTTGCTTAATAATACTATTTCACCCTCCAGGTAGCTGTGACTGTACTCACAGGGCTCAATAAAGAAGCGTTTATGATGTCAGTGTCAAACTATGCGTTTGACTTGAGCCATGTACATCACCACATAAATGAAAGGTGTTAACAGAAGGCTGGAGCAATATAATTATATTCTTAGTAAAAAATAAATTATGTTCAGTTTCCGGAATTATGATGTTTCTGTAGATGGAGGGGACTTTTCTTAATGAAACTCAGGACCAAACTTGCAATTTGACCAGGTCAACAGAATTCATACCATATCACATACAGTGTGATTGTGAATACTTGGGGAAGTGATCACCCATCTCTGACTGATAATACTCTATTGACATCATATTTTCACCAGATTTTAACTGAAAATTCTGTAGCAAGTCACAGTTTTCCATGCTCTGCACTTTCTGAATCATTTATTTAGGAGATCTTGATGTTTGTTGCAGCAAATAACTGTACTTTTAGCTTTGTGAGGCATGGCATCATTAAACTTGGGACTTTCCTGAAGTCTGGGGGAGAAGCAGACATCTCACCATCATCAGTGGATTTTCCTGTCCCTCTGTGAATAAAATGGCCATCCAAACATTCTGAAAGGGAAATCTTGGTGGACTGTGGCCTCGTTGTATGGCTGCAACCTGATCATCCTATAATACAGAGATAAACTCTGGTTGTAGTGCTCTGTCAAGTCTTGTACATGATAAATACAAAAGTTCAAGCCTTAGTAGGTGTATTTATTGTGAATGACAAGGAGTGTTAATTTTCACCATTCAAGAATGTACATCAGCTCATGTGAGTGTGTTTCACTTGCTAAAGTCCTCTATCAAATCCTGCTTCAAACTGTGCAGCTGCTGGCAATGAGGCTCTAAGGTCAGGATTGCTGAGGTTGGCGGATATTAGAGCTTGTGGAAAAGATGTTGTAGGTCAGTGCAAGGGAAACCCATGTCATGGAATCCTTATCTGAAAATGCTCTCTGGCTTTTTGTTTGCTTTGTAATGTCAAAGCAGGGTCAAGAATGTGATCTGTACAGACAGAGTTTTGAACATTTGGGGTTTTTACAAGAAAATGTTCTTTTTGATGTTTAAGTCCCGTATGATGGGGTAATGCCTTTTGGTAGGCCAACGGATAGAGCTGGGAGGTGGGGAGAAAGATGCTTTTTGTTCTTCGCTTGTGATGCTGGTGCAATAAACTTATTTTCTGTCTCTGTGAACCCTGTCATGCTTCTTTCTTGGAATTACCATAGCAGCAACAATGCTACTCCTACTTTACATAGCTTAAGAAGTGTATTATCTGCATGTTATAATTTTTTTTGTAGGGGGAAAAAAAAAAAAACAACCCTATCAGAATGAGGATAGATCTGTTTTCACAAACTGAAGATAATAACAATAGTTTCTCTCACAGAATTCCCAGAGGAATTTTAGTTGGGCAGGACAGAAGGTAATGTGTATGTGATATTGAGGAGGAGGCAAAATGTGATGTGTTTTGTCACATTGTTCCAATGAGGCAGATTATGCTGGGAATAGGAATTGCAGCTCTTGGTTATGTTTGGTTGTTTTTTCAAACTCACATGCACAACTTCCCAGGTCAGAAACTTTTTTTTTTTGCCTCCTTTTCTGTGAAAAGAAAACAGGTTTGTGTAAGAATTCCATCTGTTCTCTCATCCTTCCCAAAAACATTTAGATGCTTTGATACATTTGCAGAACATGTGACTGGAGGTTAGAATATAAAAAATAATTCCATGTCTGTTGGAGGCTGATTAAGATGAAAAAGGCAATGTAATATCTTCACTTAAGGAAAAGACTCTCAGTCTCTGCCATGGAGACACTTCTGCACATGGAGGAGCACGTGGGTGCTGGTGGATATAGGACTGGTTGGTAGCTGAGCATCAACAATTTCCTTCCCAGCTTGGCAGACACGGGGAGGTGCAGGGAAAGAAGAGGTAAAAATGGTGCAGGAGTGAGTAGAAAAAGATGGAGTGAGGGAGCTGGGGTTAGCTTGGTGGGAGGATGAAGGGTGATAAGAACATCCCCAGGTCTCTTAGATCAACATTAATTGTCAGCACAATGTTTGGGAAGGGCAGTAACACTTGATCTGCAGAGACTGAGTGTCATCCTGCTTCACAGATTATTTAAATCCATTGCATGTATATCTGTATATTTTGGATCAGTTTTTAATTTATTCTGTATGTGAAAAGACTTTATAACTTGTTTATTTGAAGTACTTAACAATAAAGAGAGCATGTGGACATCAGCAGATACAGTACAAACAGGTATTTTCTTCAACAGCTTTACCAATGAACAAAGGGGAGGGTGAAGTCCCCCAAACAAATGCTACATTGAGGAAAATACTTCTGATATTATTTGATACAAGATAATATTTAGAAAATAACTATGCTTCAAGAAAATGTGGGCTAGAATGCATGGTGTCTTAGTGTGATACTTAAGGCAATGAGATTTTAAGGTTTACCTTATGTGCCATGTATATTGATTAAATACCAAATATATGGTAGCCATTTCTAACCATCATTTACTGTATTGATTTGTCAGCAGTGGAACTGTAATAAAAAAAGCTATTGATTTACTGTCCTTATTTGCTTATGGGCTTTTTATTAATTTTACACATTGTTTCCTATTTCTAGATTATAATTTTTATGTGTTTCCTCCCTTTAAGACAAGTCTGGTCCTCTCTGAGGTTAGAAAAGAGCAACAAATTGAGGAACAAAGAAATGAGACCATCAGCTGCTTCCTGCTCCTTCTTAAGGAGAGACAAAAGCTGCGTAAAGAATGGACAGCAAGGTGAGAAGTACTCCTATAAATCCCCTTGAGTGGGGAAAAGTGACTTAAAAAAATTTAAAATTTTCACTGTTCAAACAGTAATTCCTTGAATGGGATAGTCCATGTTTCTGTGGCTACACTGCTCTCACACAGTACAGACTACTGATAGCAACTTGGTAGGCAGCACTCAGACCTGAGGAGTGCTGCCACCTAAAATGCCCTCGGTTTTCCACCTATTGCTGCCAGTATGAGCCATGCTCTTTGCTGGAATGCTCTGCTAAAACTGCACTTGTTGGCTTGTGCTCCTTCTATTTCCCTGTGGTGTCCTGCTGGAGTTAAGTGGATGGTGATGGGTGAGATGGGCACACGTGTGTGAACTGCTGGAGCTCACGACGTGGGGCTGTTTTACTGTACCAGAGCTCTTAAAGAGAGCTCACTGCCACAGATCAGGAGATGCTATCAACATGTTGAAAATTGTTTTATGTTTGTGTTTGGAAGGGTTTGTGTTGCTGGAATATAGTCAGCTGAATAGCATTTCAGAAGCACCAGATACGCTGTACTTTTAGTTTCTTCAGAAAGAGGTCAATGAAAGAGGATTTCCATCACGTTCTACCTTGTTCTTCTCTTAGGCTGCTAAATGAGTTGATGTCACCTTTTTTCACACCAATGTCTAAAAGCTACAGGTTTATACTAATTTGATAATCTATTATTTTCTTATTTTATATGTATATAAAATACCTAGCAATCTGAAGTTTTTCTGCCAAATATGCAGCTATTATTTAAAACCAGGAGATGTTCCTTTCTTACAATTAAATACAATTTTTAGTCAAAAGTATTTTTAAATCAGATTTTTGTTATTTAAATTTAGTGTCTAACTGGCATGATTTTTTTTACCTGCACTAATTAACATTAAGGGAGATCTCTGGTATTTTGCTAGTGTAGCTCCTGAAGACTCTGAGATTGCTTTTAAAATGTTATCTGTAGATTTTGGGTCTGACACTAGGGTATCCTTTCTGCTCCACATAATTACAGCAAATGAAACTGAAACATTTTAGAAACTTTAGATAAAAATTGAACATAATTACACATAATTATTTTACAAATTACAGGTTGTGCTTAATAAGTTTGTGTTCCAGTGAGTATGGAATGTTTGCTTGTATGCTACTCATTTAAGGTTTCAGAGTAAACTGGCTCTAAAATATTTTCCATAGTATTCTGTGGGATTTAATTTTTTTTCTTGAACAATATAAGGGATTTTTGTGGTGGCTTTGTTAGGTTTTTGTTTTTTTTTTAATTGGTTGGGTTATTTGGTGGTTTTTTTGTTTGTTTTGTTTGTTATGGGGGGGTGTTTCTTTGTTTTTTTGCCTTCCATCACCATGCTTACTAAATAATGCAAATGTCTTAGCTATGTTGAAACAGAGGAAATCACTTAAAGTTTTTCTGTGGGACATGTGCATCTTCGTTATGAAACACAATGGAAAGCTTCTAATGAGTGGAATACTTTTTAGAGTTCATTTTGTCTAACAATGATTTCCTAATACACAAAGTCATCAGCAATCATGGCAGTAATGAGTGATTTAGAGGCGCTGTGGCTTTCAGTGTGCCTGGCCCCACTTGCTGCTCACAGGGAGCTCTGGGGCTGCGGCCAGGGCTGCAGCTGGAGACGCAGCCCAGCCTCTGACACAGCAAAGCTGCACCTCTTGGGGGTGGCACAGGCACAAGCAGATGAAGTGCAGGCCTTCTTAAAACCAAACACCTGAAAGAAAATATCGAGAGCATTGTGCATTGAAAGTTCTGAAAGAAAGTGTCCTTTGAGTATTAAATATCCATAATCCTTTTTCTTTCTATTTGATGTTTCCCATCCCAGTGACCTATCTGGGGGTCCCATCCGTATGATCTGCATACAGAGACTGTTACCATACACCTCACTTGGCTCCATCAAAGCCTCAGCTCGGTGTCTGGAATGAAACACTGGCTGTGGCAGCCATGGAGCACACGGTGCTGAAAGTTATAAAACGTCCGCCGTGGTACGAGCAGGGCTGCCCATGTTTTAGAGATCAGTCTATTGTGTACTTTGGAATTACATGAGAAAAATGTGCTTGGACAGGAAATAATTAGCACTTGTCAAAGGGCAGGCAATAGGTTACAGTACTTTACTTTCAACAGGCTATCAGGGGATCAGCTAGATTAGATAATAGAATTTTTTTTCCTGTGGAAGTTAAATACAGATGACTCTAATTACCTTACATTGTGCATTAGAGAGCAGATTATGAACAGTACAACTTCAAGAAATTTAGGTCAATGAAGGGAGGGCAGCTGGCAGAAAACTTCACTCTGCACTTGGTCTTTGTAGAGTTATGTAGTCATTCTGTTCTTTCTTGTGTTTTATTTGTGTCATTAACACCTGAAATAAAACAAAAACAACCAAAAACTGGTAATACAAGCTGACTGAACTTTTGGAAATTTATCCTTTCCCAGAGAAAAGCATATGAACTCTTCTGGTATGTACCTACTCAGTTAAAGCATATTCTTATGTTATTTACTTTAAGTTGTGCCAGTGTTTCTTCATGTTAATGAGCTGAAGTGACTCTTTAAGATTTTATTTCAGCTTCACAGCCCAAAACTCATGGCAGTGTGCTTCGTGTTGCACTCACCATTTCATAGACTTGTGATGCAAAGATGTCATCAGTATCTTAAGTATCTGAGCAGGTCTTCCAGGGATTCAAGTTGTTCTCTGAGTGGTAGTGATCCAAAATACTTCAGGTAGGACTCAGTGAATGTCCTCTGAGTGTTAACAGAAATGGTCCAGAGTTTCCAGAGCCCCAGATTTGTTTATACTGCGTGATAGGGCCTGATGGACAGGTTGTTATAGCTGTTAAAGAGCTGCTCTAGCCCTTTGAACTGACCCCTTCTTGACCTCTGCTTACAGAAGGTCACTGTTCAGCTTACAAAGTGAGGGGAACCTCAGATTCTACTGTAATAAACAGAGGGTGAAGGGAACAGCTGTGAATTTTGGACTAACCATGCAAACCTGGATAGACTTTTTAGGGTCACTGTATGATAATGAAAATTGTTACCAAATTATATGGAAATTTAACAGCAATAGTGGGAAAGAGAGGGTGGAGTCTAATGCATTGGGTTTGATAAATGAAGTGTGAAGTTACCCATCTGGCTCTAGACAGCCCTCTTTTTCTCTACGAAAGGGAAACATTTAAAAATAACCATGGTACATCTAGAATCAATGACCCATACAGAGAGCTGGAATAGATCAAGATTTAATGGTGACTGTGGAAGAAATTATCATTTGAAAAGTGAGACAAAGGATGAGAAAGTACAGTTCAATATCTGCACCTGATTCATTTTTTAAAAAGGCTTTAATATTTTTCCCTGTTCATGATGTTATCGACATTTTTTATTTTTACTTTTTAACTGGAACCAGAAAAGTTGTTATATCACAAAGAAACAGGGGAAAAAGACAAAAGTACTTGAATTTCAGGAGAGAATGTTGCACTTTTCCTGATCAGATGTGCCTGAGAGGGCTGGGCTACAGTTGAATAAAATTGTAGCTCTTATTTCTCCTAATAGAACTTGTATCATGTTATAATAGCATTGTCTTTAATGCTTGCATGACGTACTGCACTTAATTGGTAGTAGGTTTTTGTTGTATTTTTCATAGACATACATTTACTACCAAGCTAATTTGTCTTCAATAAATCAACAAGAGATTAATTTAAATGGTAGTGTTTAACTGCCTTGAAAATATTGACTGCTAGGAAAAAATATGGTTAGTTAAACCTTTGCTAAAGTATGGAGTTTCCAAGTGGGAAAATTGTATTAGTCCAAAATAGTTTTATTGTAACACAGACTCTGATGTCTATTTTGCTATTTCCCTCAGTGAAATTGTGCCATTTCTCTTAGGGGAAATTCAGCCAGATATTGGAAAATGTAAAGTTTTGGAGACAGACATAATGAAGTGCATGAAGTGGAAATTTTGATAAAATTATATATGATTGTTGAATTTTCATAGTTGTGCTACTTATCCAAATTCTGAAATCTTAACTTCTCTTGAAATAATCATCTAATGGCAAATTGACATAGTGAAAACAGAATAAATATTCAATAAATATTCTGTACCAAAGTAATCACAAAATTCTTCTGGTTCATGAGATAAAGAGTAGAAAAGTGTTAATTGATTATATCTTGTAAAAATCAATAACTTATAACCTTGCATCATTAAAATAACACAGTAAAAAAATATCTTTTTCTGGGGTCATTCTATAACCCATAATATTTTGTAGACTGGGTCACTGTATTTCTAGAATTTTTATATTCTTGCATTTTGCATGGCAGTGGAAAAAGAACCTCTTACTTGTGACAAATCGTGTTAGTTTCAGGTTTCAAGTCAGATGTGAGCTATAATTCCTCAGCATTTTTTGCCTTTGTCAAACCCCTTCTTAGATCTCACAATTTTATATAACAATTTAAAGGTATGTATTTTTTTTCTAGTTACAATGAACACTTATTCTGCAGAGGTAGTCTTAGCTCTCAGCAGTGAAATCTGGATTTTTATCAGGAATTTTTATATAGGAATGTCAATTATAGGGACCTAGTGAGGAAATTGAGTCCTAATCTGGATGACGCTCTTCAATTCTATAATAAGAAAAATGAAGAATCTTAGAGTGGAAGCCTAAAATAGCGTGCATGTTAAATAAGATACAAAGTGGAAGATTTTATTTATTTTATTTTCTGTTTTGAAGAAAAAGTTCATTTTTTCTTCTTATGCCTAACCTCCTTATACCTTGGAATTTTAGATCATAATTAAGGAGTAATTGAGGTAGATTTTACTCTTTTTAGCTCCAGTAGAAGGTAGTGTTGATTTAAAGAAGGACTGTGTTTCCTCTGTAGTTTAAGAAGTAAACATGGGCTTTGGGAAAATCAGAGCTTTTTTTCCTTTCTGTCACAGGCTTTGTGCATTTTCAGGAACTCATGAATGCTATTTTTCAAACCAAATGTGATAATAC